TTCAGGTTGGTGATGGCTCTCTGGATGGTTTCTGGACTGTTCTCTGTCTGACCCAGCAGACCTCCTAAGAGTCTCTGGTTGGACTCCAGAGAGAGGCCATGAAGGAAGCGAACAAACAGGTCCAGGTGACCGTTTTTACTTTGGAGGGATTTCTCCATGGCTGCCCACAGGAACTCATCCAGGGTTAAATCAACATGTTTTTTCCCCAGGAAGTCCTTCAGGACCTCAGTCTTCCTGTTGGTGTAACAGTGGAACATGTAGACTGCAGCCAGAAACTCCTGAACGCTCAGATGAACAAAGCAGTAGACTGTTTTCTGGAAGATCACACTCTCTCTTCTGAAGATCTCAGTACAAAGTCCTGAGTACACCGAGGCCTCTGTGACATCAAGACCACACTGCTCCAGGTCTTCTTGGTAGAACATGATGTTTCCTTTCTCCAGATGTTCAAACGCCAGCCTCCCCAGCTTCAGAAGAACTTCCCCGTCAGCCTCCGTCAGCTCCTGTGGACTCGTCTCACGTCCCTCATGGTACTTGTTCTTCTTCCTCTGTGTCTGAACCAGCAGGAAGTGTGAGAACAGGTCAGTCAGGGTCTGGGGCAGCTCTCCTCTCTGGTCTGTGGTCAACATGTGCTCCAGAACTGTAGCAGTGATCCAGCAGAAGACTGGGACTTGACACATGATGTGGAGGCTCCTGGACGTCTTGATGTGTGAGATGATTCTGCTGGACAGCTCTTCATCACTGGATCTCCTCCTGAAGTACTCCTCCTTCTGGGCGTCAGTGAAGCCTCGTACTTCTGTTACCCTGTCCACACATGTAGGAGGGATCTGATTGGCCGCCGCAGGTCTGGAAGTTATCCAGACGAGAGCCGAGGGAAGCAGATTCCCCCTGATGAGGTTTGTCAGCAGCACGTTGACTGATGACTCCTGTGTGACATCAGACACAACCTCCCTGTTGTTGAAATCCAGTGACAGTCTGCTTTCATCCAGGCCGTCAAAGATGAACAGAACTTTACAGACAGCGAGCTGCTCTGCTGTGACCTTCTGTAATGTTGGATGGAAAACATGGAGCAGCCTGAGAAGACTGTACTGCTGATCTCTGATCAGGTTCAGCTCCCTGAACGAAAGCAGAACCAGCAGACTGACATCTTGGTTCTCCAAGCCCTCTGCCCAGTCCAGAGAGAACTTCTGCACTGAGAAGGTTTTTCCAACGCCAGCGACGCCGTTGGTCAGAACCACTCTGATGGGTCTCTGCTGGTCAGGTGAGACTTTAAAGATGTCGTGGCACCTGATTGGAGCGTCATGGAGGGTCTCCATCTTGGAAGTTGTCTCCAGCTGCCTCACCTCATGTTGGGTATTAACCTCTTCACTCTGTCCCTCTGTGATGTGGAGCTCAGTGTAGATCCTGTTGAGGAGGGTTCCACTTCCTGTTCCATCAGTTCCTTCAGTCACATGTTCACATCTGCTCCTCAGACTGATCTTATGTTGATGTAAAACCTCCTGCAGACCACTATCTGCTGAAAGAGAAGAGACAACGTCAGACTGAAGAAAGAGAATCTGAGAATCTGATGATTATTTTCATCAGCTGCAGAAAAACTAAAGACAAACAGAGAAAAGATTTTAATGTTGTGGTATTTATAATCATCTTAAAGGTCGATGCTGTGTGATGTAACAAATGACTCTGTATAAAACAACAGGTCCTAGTTTCAGAAATGATGACATCATCATACAGATGTTCAGTCTCACTTTGTTCAGTGCTGGTCTGACTGGCTGTCTGCAGTCCAGGTCTTGTTCTGGGTCTTTTTCCACACTGGGGACAGGAGGAGTCTCCTGAAGAACCAGACTGGTCCCAGTATGAGGTGATGCACTGTCTGCAGAACCAGTGTCCACAGCTGGTAGAGACTGGATCCTTCAGGACGTCCTGACACAGAGCACAGCTGGACACAGAGACATGGCTCCTCCTCTTCAGTCTGTGAAGACATTTCTTTATCACTACAATACTTTGTTGATTATTGTTGAAAAATATCCAGATGTGTCCAACACTGTCCAGAAGCTCTGATGGCGTCAAAGCTCCAGCAGCAGCTGCAGTAAATAGAGGAACTTCATGAGACTGATGCATTTCGGCTCGAGGGCTTCATCAGGGTCATCGATCTGATGAAGGCCTCGAGCTGAATGCTTCTGTTTCCTGCAGCTGTTGCTGGAGGTTTGACCTCTCTGGACTTCTTCCTCTCTCTGTGCACCTTGGAAGTAGATGAAGTCGTGACAGAAACTTTACTTTGTTTCATGAAGCTCTGATGGTCACAGAGAAAAGTCAAAGTGCAGCTTCTTTTCTGTTTGAATTCAGCATTCAGTCTGAATTAAAATGATTCATTTCAACACTAATCAACTGTTTCCTCTTCGGGGCGCCTCGGTGGCTCCGCTGCTCCAGAGCGAACCGTTAACACTGAGTCCTAACTGCAGTGGCCCAGGCTCCAGTCTGAGCTGTGGCCCTTTCCTGCGTCACCTCCTCTCTCTCACTGTGGCTGTCAAAATAAAGGCCCAACATGCCCAAAAAAGAACTTCAAGAACTTGTTTTCCCCATCTGGCTGTCTGATTAAACACTTAGTGATGGGCTGTAGCTTGCTATCAATACAAATGAAAGACTTCCTGCAGCTCCTTCACAGTAAAAGCCTTCTGTTAAGACTGAGCTGATCACGTCCTTGATGTTTTACATCAGTTTGTGCAGCTTAGCTTGGGTCAGTGAGGTTTGCACTGAGATTAGAAGTGGTCTGAAGAGTCTCAGACACACAGCGTGTAACAGATGTGTCTGAGGTGCACATCTGGACAGCTGTCTTTCCTGTACATTGTTCCCTTAACGTTTTCTGTCACTCTCTACTGTCAAGGATCAAATAACAGCATCAGTGGAGAAGTGGTCTGAATCTACACCTGAACATCTTCTGCCCTTCTTTGTCCACATTACTTTACTATGTGAGGAACAAGATCCAGGCTCAAAGGTCCACTTACTAATGATTCAGAGCTTTCAGATTTTTTAGACACTTCATCATGATACATGAATATTTTCTTAGTGTTCATTCTTGAGCTTCTCAGTTGTTTTATTAGAGAAACACAATCAATAGATTCTTGTTATAAAACCCACAAGATCCATTTCAGTTTGTAGTTTCAGGTGGTTTCTGCAGTAACTGCATCATTGATATAAATCTATTAGAAAATCATTTATCTTCCATCAGGTCAGTTTACAGTAGAAACTGTGTCTTACTGTGTGTGTGAAGGTCCAGGTTCATTACTGAAGTTTAGAGGTTCTCTGGACCAGTCACTCTTCACAGACAGACAGCTGGGGACTGGAGACTCTGCTCCGTCCTCGTCTTCCTCCACATCACTCATCTTCTGGACTTCAGTCAGTCTGAGAGGGAAACCAGTAACACTGACTGTGAGATCACACACACACACACACACACACACACACTCACACACTCTCTCTCACACACACACACACACACACACACACACACACACACAGTACTGTATAATAAAGTAAATAGTATAAAAACCTGGTCAGTGTTCTTGGGTTAGTTGTAGGTCCATTGTGAATATTCAACGTCGTGTCACAGACGAATCAAACGGTTGATTCTGACGGAGAGAACCGGAAGTACCACCTCATGTTATTTCCTGCTTTCCTCAGTGTCTTTGTTTGGACAAAAGTTCATTCTGACTCTTCTTCCCGCCACAGAGAGAAAACTGACTCTGACACTTTGACAGTAAAATAAGAGTAATGTTGTTTTAACGCTCCCCTGCCTCAGACTTCAGCTTCCCTCCTTCTGCTCCGTCGATTCAAAATGGAGTCTGAACTTTCAGTTTCACTTTTACCCGCCGATTCTTACAGGAAATCACGAGTCTGTGTACGTGTGTGTGTGTGTGTGTGTGTGTGTGTGTGTATCTGACTTTATGAAAAATATAAACCTGAATAACTTTGAAAAAACCCCAAACGTAATTTAACAAACCTGCTGCTGGAATGAAAGAAACTCCGGAATCCTTAAAGACTCTTTGAGCATCTGGATGCGTCTGTTGCTCCGTAAAAAAGCGAGATGTGCTGAGACTGCAGACGCAGCGGAGACAATCTCAGTCCTGGGAGATCCAGCAGCTGAAATGTGAATGTTGAGTTCAGTCAAAGGAAATCCAGAGAGGACATGTAAAATAATGACTATTTATTACACAAACTTAAAACTTCCACTGTGATGTAATATCAGCGTTCTGTACATAGATGAAAAACAAACACACTTAAACTAATTGGATTCCTCTTCACGTGCAGTCTGTCTGATTAAAGAAAGGCAGCTGCAATACTGCATCGATCCACAAGATGGAGCTACAACACAAACATTAACTGATAACCTGCAGGTTTCAGCACAGACTGATGGTCACATGTTTCAAAGCATCAAGACAAAATGAAATATTAAATACAAAAACTGTTGAAGATTTTTAGAAGTTTTCCCAAACTAGAACAGCAGACGTGCCTCCCAATATTTTACTAACTTTTAATTATTATCACAATTTTATTTGAAAGATTTTAAACAGTTTTAAAGAATCTGGCCAAGACCAGTGTCATCTTAGTTAAGTGCATTAGCTTTTAGAAAGTGATTTTTATTCATCACAGAGCTTTTAAAACTTTAACTCTATGATCTCCTCACACACTCCATGTTTCATTTCTGCAGATAAAGAATTTAGATGATTCTTAAAGCTTTTTAAAACTAAACACATTGTGTACCTGCTCTAAATCACAAACACTGACTGGTCTTGTCACGGTTATGAGGGGTTGTCAGGGTTTGAGGGGTAAGTAAGACCCAAGTGCAGCCAACAAATGGGAGACGGTGCAAAAGGTTTATTTAACTTAAAGCTTTCACACAACACTGGTGGAAAGAAACGATTTCAATAACCAAAAGTAACTACTTACAAAAACTCAAAATCCAAAACAGGCAAAAACTGGCAAACCAACTGAAAAGGAAATCGAAGCACAAGGGTTATACAAGAAACAGCAGGCCAAAACATGAGAAGCACAGGGGATGACAACAGGAGACATGAACAGACTGAGGACAAACCCAGAGATCAACAGACAAAGGGAAGCACAAAGACTATATAGACAAGGGAGGCAAGGGTGATTGAACACAGGTGAAACACATTAGGGCGGGGCAGACAATCACCACACAGAAACAGGACCAAGACAAGAAGCAAAAACACTGAGACACACAAGGAAACCAATTACAAAATAAAACAGGAAGTGAGAAAGTCCAAACAAAACTAACAAAAGGTGTCTGCCATAGCAAACCATGACAGGTCTCACCTGCCTCCTTTCAGTAGTAATTACAACACAGAGTACTGTCTCCTCTCCAGAAGCTGCAGGAGAATTCATATCCCTCACACAGTCCACAGCCTCATCAGTCCTGACTTCATCTTCACTGATGGACAACATGAACCGCAGGAAGGTGTCTCAGGTGGGAGGGGTTGGACTTCAGAGCTGAGGCCACGACTTCACAGTGAGTCTCTGAGAGTCCACAACCAGCAAACCTGTCATGACACGTTCATTACACAGAGTCATTATGTAAGAGGACACTTCATATTGACTTCAAGCATGTGATGATCAAACAGTTTGACACGTCCTGTGTTGATCCATATTCTCTCTTCATCACTGGTTCAGTTCATCTGATCTCACTGTGTTTGACAGGAAACAATCATTCTCATCAGTCTCTCTCACACCTGCAGAGTTTCAATCCTCTTTCAGATGAAGAGAGAAGATGTGGTCACAGTCAGTCTTCCATAATGTCCACAGTCTGTCAGTGAGATCTGATCCATGTGGTCTCCACAAAGTTCCCATGAGGCCATGTTGATTGGAAAAACACTGTTTTAAAGTGACAGCAGGATATTTTCACTGAGTTCAGCTCAGTGAACAATGACAGTTGGTAAAGATGATCTGTGTTTGATACCTGCTGCTGTCAGCTTCACCATCACATTTCTCCCGCCAAGTGTCTGTCTGCTGGAGACCGAGGTCATAGCTACAAGTCCGTTAGGTCATCATGTAACGTCAGCTGACTGAACTATAATTAGTTGTTAAAGACTGTTGTTGATAAGAGACACGACTAGGCTTTCATAAAACGCTACAAGTTCCCGCTTCTGGGAGTGAAATAAAATCCAAGTCTCCCGCCGAGCGTCAGTCTGCGGTTCCGGGTCACAGCCTCACAGCAGAGACAGACCTTCTTGGAGACCTGCCTCTGACTCAGTGCCATACTCTCGCGAGATCTGTCAACTGTCGACATCGTTTGCTAACGAGATGTTTAGATGGACCACAGTTATTTTTGGATTGACTTACTTATACGTGAAAACACGGATTAAACTTTAAAAAGTAAATAAAACTTGTTTCATTTCTCAACAGCTGCTGAAACAGAGTATTAGCCTATTAAACTGACATGACTTTGTCCTGGGCTGATCAGATGTTGTTAGTAGATCGTCATCGATGACGTCAGGTCAAAGGTCATCATGTCAACTGACCGGCATCCAGGTTTTTTTTTTTTTTTTTTTTAAATATTATTGATTCTTAAAGGCTTTAATAAAACAAAACAAAACTAGTACTTTTGACCTTTTTTTAAAAAAAGTAACTGTCTGTTTTTATGCTGCATTTAATTCCTTTTATTGTATTTATTTTATTTATATGTATTCATATTTTGCTATGTGTCTTATTTCAGAAGTTATGTTTGTTTCCTCCAAAGTTTAAACTAAGAGAATTGCAAGTAAAAAAGCAAAGACTATAAAGGAAGTCTGTCGCACGCAAATGGTTTTTCTGGCTTCCTATATTGCTTATTAAATTATTTATCGTCTGACACCTTGCTGGGTCCCGATCCTCGGGTTGGGAACCATCAGTCTAAATACCCAGCGTGCTGTGGCCACACAAAACAACACACACACAGAAAGTGTTTGATAAAAAACCTGTTTTCTTATTTTAGTTTGGGTTTATTTATTGTACATGATGACAGCAGTGGTAGAAGTCACAGGAGAGTTTGTGGGGGTGAGGGGTCAGGTGGGGGTCAGAGGTCGGGGGGGGGGGGTTAGAAGTAGTTGACGACTCTACGGATGGACTGGATGTTGGGGTTCTGGGCCTGCCACTCGTTGTGGCTGCTGTAGTCTCCACGCTCCACGATGTACATGCGACCGCGGAAGTTTGGCTCCTCGTACATCACCCAGCTGAAGACGGAGAAAGTAGATTTTCATAAATCTGTTAAATCCTGTCAATGTTATTATTGATTAATCCACTTGATTTTCTTCATTAACTGATTATTTCTTTGGTCTATAAAATGTCAGAAAATATAAAAACGCCAAACCCATTTTCCTACAATCAAAGTTACACATTTAAAACATATTTAGGAAGTGGACTAATTTAATTATTATTATTTATTTATTATTTACTGTTATTATTATTATTACCAATGAGCTACTGACATCCATCCATCCATTTATCCATTCATCCATCCATCCATCCATCCATTCATCCATCCATCCATCATCCATCCATCCATCCACCCACCCATCCATCATCCATCCATCATCCATCCATTCATCCATTCATCATCCATCCATCCATTCATCCATCCATCCATTCATCCATCCATCATCCATCCATCCATTCATCCATCCATCCATTCATCCATCATCATCCATCCATCCATTCATCCATCCATCATCCATCCATCCATCCATCATCCATCCATCCATCCATTCATCCATCCATCATCCATCCATCCATCCATTCATCCATCATCATCCATCCATCCATTCATCCATCCATCCATCATCCATCCATCCATCCATCATCCATCCATCCATCCATTCATCCATCCATCCATCCATCCATCATCCATCGTTCCATCCATCCATCCATCCATCATCCATCCATCATCCATCCATCCATTCATCCATCCATCCATCCATCCATCCATCCATCATCCATCCATTCATCATCCATCCATCCATCCATCCATTCATCATCCTTCCATCCATCCATCATCCATTCATCCATCCATTCATCCATCCATCCATCCATCCATCCATCCATTCACCATCCATCCATCCATCCATCCATCCATCCATCCATCCATCCATCATTCATCCATCCATCCATCCATTCATCCATCCATCCATCCATGCAGTTGCCTGAGTTGTTGAAGGGTTTTCATGTGTTTGATTTCTGGCCTGTTCTGTGCAGGTCCATGGATCTGGACCTGTGGTTGTAAAATGTGTGAAACTCACGCTCCGTCTCCGTAGACTTTGACGGAGTTGATGCAGTTCTTGGAGAATCCGCGGCTCTGCAGGAAGGGACAGTCATCGCAGATCTCCACGCACTGACCGGAGAAGTTACAGGCCTCGAACAGCTCGATGCGGTAGTGCTCACCGTGCTGATGGAGAGAGAGGGAGGGAGAGAGAGGGAGGGAGAAGGAGGACAGGTCAGAGCAGTTTTTCTGCCTCCATGATGAACATGACCGCCACTCCAACTCTTAGAAGTCACGTTTCCATCTGAATGTGCCGCACGTTTCAACACAACTTCATCCAATTTACTTTAAACGTTTTTTCTGTAATATTTTTCATTTTTTTCTTTTGATATCTGGTGTTTCCGCTCATGAACTGGTGGAGGGAAATCCATCATCACATGGCGGAGCAGTGAATCTGAAGGGTTCGTCCTCCGGGGAGCATGAAAGTGTTTATCAAAGTGAAAGTTGTGACCTGACAGGTGGAGCAGTAAAGGACATAAACCCCGTCGGAGGTGTTTACCATGCGGATGGGCTTGCAGGATCCCATGTGGTCGTTGTGGGAGTTCCACCTCTGGAATTCGGGGTACTCTCCGTGCTCCAGGATGTACTGCTGGCCCTTAAAGTCGGGGTGGTCGTAGCAGATCCAGGCGCCGCTCTCCACACGGATAGAGTTCACCCTGAAAACACACCAACGATTAGGCTCCAGAAACTCTCACGTTTTTCACATTAACAGTCCTGTGTTCTTTCCTTTATAGGTAGGCTTTTAATGTGAAAAATCCCCAGGAAGTGTTGTTAGTTCTGTTATAAATGGAAGGTGTTTGAGCAGAGTGTTTTTTCTGATTTGAGTGCCGGCTCAGAGGCAACAGGGGGATTAACTGTGAGGTGGTATCTGGTACAGATGATTTCTGCTGTCCAGATGTGAGGTTGTCACACAACGTCAGTGATGTTGTGGACTATAAGGAACCAGTTTCTCTGAAGATTTAGGTTTAGTTCCTCAGCAAAACAAGTCAAGTACTTTTATTTTAAACCAAATCACATATTTGCAGAATTCAGCTTCACTTGTGTGAAGCATGATAATGTTTTGTCCAGTGTGACAGAATAAGGAAGTAAAAGTTTATTTTGCTTTAAGAAGAGAAGTCCATGTGACTGCAGCCGGGCGGATTCTGCATTAAGGGAATAAAGGGAATATGGTACTGATGAATTATCCATGAACTTCTGCAGCTCATTATCTGTGGAGCTCCTCTGGACTCAGTGTTCAGGGGTCAAAGGTGAAAATCCTCACAGCTCTAAACGGTAGATCTCATGAAATCTCATGAAATACATCCCCCAGAATATTTCTGTTGTTCAGAAGATGTGGAGGACGAGTGTCGCCAGGAAAACATGAAATAAGTAAAATCATGCTTGTTTGTTTTTCTGTCACCTGTTCATGAAGCCGCGGTCCTGGAAGTTATCACAGTCTCCTCTGACCTCCAGCTTCCTGCCGGTGAAGCACTTCCCCTCATAGAAGGTAATCTGGAGGGAAAATAAAGACACACACCATCACTCACCTGTATCTGCTTCTACAGGTACAAATCCTGTCACATGTACAGGGAGGTTTTATAGAGCTGCTCCTGACACTGTAGAGATTCAGTTTAGACTGAAATCTGTTCAAATACATCCGTGCCTATATATGTATATATTTCATATAGTTTAGTCTTTCAGTACAAATGTTAATATGTGCATCAGGCCAGAAACAGACAGGATCCAGTCGACGTCTTGCGTCTTGTGACAGCGTCCTGTCTTCAGCCGGCTGCTTCAGTGACGTCCGTCTTATTCATTTCATTTTCATCACTGATTAAAAAAACATCCCTGTTTTTAAAGAGCAAGTTAACAAGAACATGTTTTTGTGACCACGCCCAGCAGTGATGTCACAGCGTACTGCCACGCCCTGCAGTACAGTTCTACATCGCTACAGCAGGGTGAGAGGTTCAACCAGAGCAGGTCAAACACAAGACGCTAAGTTACAAAGTGGTGAATACGAGGTTATTCAGAGAGAAGTTCGTCACGCCACCAAACACCCAGATTTACTCGTCGTTCACCACAACCACAAACCCTCTGAGATAAACCTGCAGGTTTTCCTTTTATCAGCCAACTAGATTTAAAGGTCAGAACAGGATTTTAATCTGGTTTCTGTCGGAGAGAATAACATTCACTTTCATTGTTTTCATTCAGTCATCCTCAACTTTACAACTTTGAAATAGATAAACTTTCCTTCAGAGCTGCAGCTGCTTCGCTCATCACACCAAACTCTTCAAAAGTCGAGCAACTTAAACCGATTCAAACTGACTGCCTGACCTGACTTCCACCCCAGACCCATGAAAAGAAAACTTTCAGAGCTGAATAAAATGTTTCCCAGCGGCTCAGTCCAGTGTCAGATGTAGCAGAGGCCCCTGTTGATCCAGACTGTGACCCCTCAGTCTCCAGACCGTCCACCCAGCAGCTGAACCTCCACATCTCTCCGTCTCACTCACCTTTCCAGAGTACTGCGACATTTTTGCCCACTGGATGTCGTCCAACCTGGCCCACAACCACACACACAGTGTAACAGAGAAAAAGTTGGACACCCCAATATATACGGCAGGGGGGCGAGCGAGGGGCGAGCGAGGGGCGAGGTCCAGGCCAGACGGACAAAAGACGAGGCTTTAAAGGTTTCTGCTGCCTCGGCGCTTTCCCTTCATCCTGATGTGTCTGCTGATTCTGCTGTGTGCGTGTGTGCGTGAGTGTGTGTGTGAGTGTGTGTGTGTGTCTGTGTGTGAGAGTGTGTGTGAGTGTGTGTGTGTGTGAGTGTGTGTGTGAGTGTGTGTGAGTGTGTGTGAGAGTTTGTGTGAGTGTGTGTGTGAGTGTGTGTGAGAGTTTGTGTGAGTGTGTGTGTGAGTGTGTGTGAGTGTGTGTGTGAGAGGGTGTGTGTGTGTGAGTGTGTGTTTGTGTACGTGTGTGTGTGAGAGGGTGTGTGTGTGTGTGGTCTCAATAGAAAGTGCTTGGCCTGAGCTTTGCAGGGTCAATGATATTGCACATGCCACGCTTCTATAGAGACAGACAGGGACAGTGAAAGGACACATACAGAGCTCTGACTGTCAGTCTTCACATATACAACATTTATATAACGTTTCTTACGGGCTACATGAAACTTTAATATAATATATATTATATATATAAAAATGTTTCTAAGTTTTTCTTATAAATTTCTCTTTGATTTTAAACATGTGTAACTTCACATTCTGGGAAAGTGTCTCAGACTTTGGGATGTATATAATATCTACATATATTAGATATATTATATTATATTATATTATATAAGCAGACATTCATGAATTTATATATTTGTAGAGGCTATATATATATATAAATATATGAAATAGTTACAATTTCTAAAAGTTTTCATATATAATTTTTGACATATATGTACATTTAAAATAAAATGTATACTTCATATATGGAAATTCTATGGAAGTGTTTCTTCTTCTTGCCATGAATCATGTGACGACCCCTCAGATTTACCTGGTGACCCTCCGGAGGGGGCCGACCCCCAGGTTGGGAACCAGTGGATTAAAAGGTCCTGCTGCTGCCCTCTGCTGGTCTCAGGTCACAACACCACCCACACTGTGGCACCAGTGGAGCTGCAACGATTTGTCAATTCATTGATTATTCTATGATAAATATGAATAATTAATCAAGTTACGACAGTAAACTGAAATATTCATGAGACAAAATGTTTCTCTCTTTATCAGTTTCAATAAAATACACAGAGCAGATGTTTAGCCAAACAATAGAACACAGCTTTAATGAGAACAATCATAAAAACACAAATATTTCTTCATTATTCATATAAAAAGTGTTTTCTTATTTAATATAGAAGAGTGATCAGTTGAGGGGGAGCAGCAGACAGTGATGTCATCTTCAGTAAAGAGTTAAACCTTATATTCATCTATTGTAGCCTCATTAACTGATATAATAAACATCATTAACTGATATAATAAACATGGTCAATTTAATTAAAAATAAATTCATCCTTTTTAAAATCCATTTTTTAAGGTAATGATGCAATTACAACATCCAATCCCGACCTAAACTCGTCCTAAGAATCAGAATAATCTTATATATTATCTTAATATTTCATTCAGCTTTTGCAATAAATAGATTTTTTGGTTCATGCATTGTTTTCTGCTCCATCTTAATAATTTCTGGTCTCTGATTCAGCTAATGTGCCGGTCAGATGTTTTATTCCAGCCCCACATTGACATGCAGCAAACGTCAAACCAAACCCCATTTGGAAATCTGTTAAGTGAGCGTTGTCGTGCAAATTAGCCACTAAACCAACATCGTGAAAAAAGACTTGATGCCTTTTTGAAATTCTTAGTGCCTTATAGTAAATTCTGCTCAACAGTAATTCACAAGAAATGTATTTATTTCAATTAAATCAACTTTCAAAGCCGCTCTCTTCTGCCCTCCAGGGTTTTTTCATGGAGCAAGAAGTTGTAAGAATTCAACAGAAACCTAAATTTCCCTCCAGCTCCCTGTTGATGTTTAGAAAATGTACAGTTCACAGTCCAGGCTGAAACATCAGCTCTGAGTTTACAGAAGATTTCTGTGTGGAGGATTCCCTTTGATAAAACATGCTCCGGAGGTTTTCAGTCCATCTTGTGTAACAAAGATAAAACAGGGATTATTTTGTTGGTATTTAAGAACTACGTCTCCCATGAGGCTTTAACAGTGTTTCTTTGGGCTCATGGACAGATGTGTTGTAGATTTCCAATGTGCATATCAACATTAAATCAGAACATTTTTGAACAGTTTGGTGTAAATATCTGAGCTGTCAGTCGGGCGGCAGCGGGGAGCGAGGGGGGAGAGGAGGAGAAGAGAGAGTTAATACAATGGTCGAAGTGTATAATTTAATAAATTACATGCTTTTAAAATACCACTTTTTTAAGTGTTGATATTGTTGAGTGCAATTTGCATGGAGATTGCATGGTGTAGTCTTCGTTTGGATCGGTGAAACTCGTGCTAGTGAGATCAAATAATTTGTTATATATTATCTTAAATATTTCAATTCAGCTTTTTGCAATAGAAATAGATTTTTTGTGTTAATGCTTGTTTTCTGCTCCATCTTAATAATTTCTGGTCTCTGATTCAGCTAATGTGGCCGTCAGATGTTTTATTCCAGCCCCACATTGACATTGCAGCAAACGTCAAAACCAAACCCCATTTGGAAATCTGTTAAGTTGAGGCGTTGTCGTGCAAATTAGCCACTAAACAACATCGTGAAAAAGACTTGATGGCCTTTTTGAATTGCTTAGTGCCTTATAGTAAATTTCTGCTGCAGCAGTAATTCACAAGAATGTATTTATTTCAATTAACATCAACGTTTCAAAAGCCGCTCTCTTCTGCCCTCAGGGTTTTTTATCATGAGAGGCAAAGAAGTTGTAAGAATTCAAACAGAAACCTAAATTTCCCTCCAGCTCCCTGTTGATGTTTAGAAAATGTACAGTTCACAGTCCCAGGCTGAAACATCAGCTCTGAGTTTAGCAGAAGATTTCTGTGTGGGGAGGATTCCCTTAGATAAAACATGCTCCGGAGGTTTTCAGTCCACTCTTGTGTAACAAAAGATAAAACAGGGATATTTTGTTGGTATTTAAGAACTACGTCTCCCATGAGGCTTTAACAGTGTTTCTTTGGGCTCATGGACAGATGTGTTGTAGATTTCCAATGTGGCAATCAACAATTAAAATCAGAACATTTTTGAAACAGTTTGGTGTAAAATATCTGAAGCTGTTCAGTCGCTGCAGTGGACGGTGATGGGGCAGAGGTGGTGCCGAGGTGTTGGGCGGTTGGTTGGGCT